TTCAGATGCCAAGGGTGTTACTAGATTGTCTCACTATGTTTTTGTATGTTCTCATGCTTGCATAGGTAAATTCAGATGCCAAGGCATATCAAAACAAAGCTATTGAGATGCTTGCATAGGTAAATTCAGATGCCAAGGCATATCAAAACAAAGCTATTGAGAACTGGGATGATATATATGTGTTAGTGGGCACCGATAAAGCAACTGGCGAGGATGCAAAGCAAATTGATGATTCTATTGCAGCTATGGATATGGAAGGTGTGAATGAAGGGGAGAGCTCTAGCAGAGAGGTTTTAAAATCTTCAACTTCTAAATCTAATAAGAAGCTCAAGAGTGACCCTTTAGCAAATGCAGTAAGTGATGTTGGTGAGATGCTAAAGGAGTATCTGGTGAGTACGAACCCACCAAAAGTTGATTGCGAGGAGATTTACGCCGAGGTATCTAAAGTGAGGGGTATTCCTCCACATTAATTTTTAAGGGCAGTTAAGAGATTCATTGATGGTTCTGCACATGATTTCTGAATGTTGAAGTTACTTCCAGACAATCAAAAGTTAGATTGGATTATGCTATGTCTTGAAAACTCAGACTAAAGGTAAAAAAAACTCATTAACTTTTCCATTTGCATTTAAGCTCTTATGTGCATCTATTTTGTATATTCTCATATGTGCATCTATTTTGCATCTTCTTATGTGTGCATCTATTTAGTTCACTTGCAGCAGTTTCCTATATTCTTGTCTGTCTCTTAGTGTATATCATAATTTCCACTTCAGTGTACTTTCAATCATTTAATTGTAATTGATGTTTCTTTCTATGTGGTTCTCGCATTTTGCGCTAATATTGATTGATTAGTTTGACAAAACATTCACTCTAGAAAAACTGCAAACCATTGTCCATATTCACCAATGTTTTAAAAGAGATGCAAATATGTCACTTGCTATATCGTAGGATTTTCACCCTCATTTCCAAAAATGCAAATCATATTTGGTTATATTGTCCCTGTTTCCCAACATATATACATGAATCATGTATCCAGATGAGAAAGAATAATTATATGATACATCTATTAACTGCTTAACTGTCTTTATCAACTATGGAATCATGTAGTTTCCTCACGTTAGTTTACAAAATCTCCTTTGTCGCCATGAGTTATGCACTGTTATTTCCCATCATAAGTCTGCATTATTTCCATGGTTATATGTCCGTATGATTTGCATGGATATGCGCCATCCAGAGTGCTGTTATAGAAGCTTGAGATTTTATCCTGATGACACAAAAGTTGGCATGGCTTTTATGGTTATCTTGAGATTATTTCCATGGTTATTTTTCTTTTGTTTTCTTGAGATTACTTTATAGTACTATTACACTTTAAAACGGAGCTCATTTGGTCTTCTTATTGTTTCAGGTGATTTAAGACCTCGCAAAGCAAGACCTCTTGAGCCGGGGAGAGAAAGCTACAATAAGAAATACAAAGCAAAAGTGTATAAGAATTAGAAAGAAACTCTTATTTGAATCAGATGTAAAAGTTTTAAAGAAACTAGTGCGAGAGCAACTTACGCATGACTATGTATGATGGGGAAATATTAACTAAATTGTAGCTCAAACATATTTTGGATCTGTAGCTTGTTGAATTGTTATATGTAATATTTCAAGTTTCTACTTTATTTATTGTTATAATTAATGGTGGATGAGTTTATAAAGTTTTATTGATGAATGATTTCGGTCATTTTTATGGTAATTATTAGGTGAACTATTGACATTCAGGCATTCAAAGTTTTAAGGTATATTATCTATATGTCAAGTTAGCTGGATATTTGATATACAATTTGAAGCATTTATTTCCACCAATTTTGATGCATAACTTATGTGAATTGATTACATTATTTCTAAATTATCTTCGAGCTACAACTTTAGTTCAGAAATTATGATTCTACTAGTTGACAAACAACTCAATTGAAAATTTTAAAATTAAAATTCTAAAGTTTGCCAAACATGAATTTTAAATTGAATTCTGGAATTCAAATTTGAATGTTTCCCAAACGAAGAAATTGAATTTGAAATTCTAGATTTCAAATTCCAGAATCCAATTCTGGAAATTAAAATCAAATTCTCAAATCCAAATGCAACCTAAACTAAATCAAAATAGAAAAGGTAAGAAGAATTAAAAAAGCTTGGACCAATGCCAACCCATGCTGATCATCACAATCAAACCCCATGAGAAATCCCACAAAAGAAAGGACCGCCATCTGATTCCAACAAAAGTAACCAACAATAGAGATCAAAATTAACAGGCAGATCAAAGCTCTAGAAATTAACCAAGTTGATGACCAAAGTGCAAATATCTCAGAATAAATTAAGAAAATGAATTAGTGGGCACTAAAATAAACAAGAATTGGAAGATGGGCAAAGTTTTAAAGACCAGTCACTACTGCAAGAAACGGTCGAGTGAGGAGCCGAAGGGAACAGCCACCTAGTATCTTTGAACTCGGGCGAGGTGAAGAGGCTCTTGATGGGCTCGTTAGGGGCCCGAGCCACCCAGCCCATGAAGCCATAGAACGACGCTTTGGGCCGCCATTGAGCTTTCAGAGGGAGGAGATGACGATCGACGAGAGATTTGGCGACGGGCGAGAGCAGTGGCGGAGTCAAAGGGAGGAGACAAGAGAGCGGAGGCTCATTACTACTTACTAGCCGGCATGGGCGGTGCCTCCTATTTTAAAAAGGGGCTTTTTCCGTGTTGGTCCCTCCCATCTCCAATAATTTGAAACTAGTCCAGTCCCTTGCAATCTGGTCCTTCTGCCGGTCTGCCCACACGATTAATTACTAACATGCCCCTTGGGGAATGTTCTCCGTCTTGAACAGCCACCATCGCAATAGAGAATGGCAGCGGCGTCGCCCAGTTTTGATCTCCGGCGGTTCGAACTCCGCCGCCGGAGTCCAAACCAAACAATTGGCGTTGGAGGCTAGGGTTTGGTGCGATGAGGGTTGAAAATTTAGGTCTTCGCCGGAGCAGAGGCAGGTAAAGGTTAGCGTTCCGCCGGAATCGGCATCGACGAGGGCTGCGAGGTTCGGAGGGAAGTTGATCGGCGAGTGCGAGAGTTTGTAACCAAGGGTTTGGGTTAAAAAACAAACAGAGTTAAACCCTCTTTTAATAGTGGGGTCTTGGTTTAAACCCCGTTTAAGGAAATGGGTTGCGTTTGGGTTACGCTAATAATTTGAGGAGTACAACTGGAAACTGTATAAAAAAGGACAAATTTTCAAAACCGTCCTATTTGTAAAAATAATCTCAAAAAGCGATCTAGTTTTAAAATATTCTTCAAAACCGACCAGTTTCGGTTTTGAAAAAAAAAACTTGCTAAACTTCACAATACTTCAAGTCTCGTGAAGTTTCATAGTTCAAACAAACTTCACGGGAAGTCCCGTGAAGTTTGTTTGAATTTATCTTCCTCCTTGCATAAAGCGGCCGAGATGTGTGCGGGTTGGAGTTCAGCGCGGAGGTGGATTACGTGGAGTTCCTCACACATGTGAAGAGGGCTAAAACTGATGCACGTGCTAGTGTACCCTCTAGTTAGCAGCAAGTAGAATATTTTGAAGGATGAGATTTATGGGCCCATGTTAGTGTACCCTCTAGTTAGCAGCAAGTAATTACATATATGTTTTTGTTTAAATTTGTTGAGAAGTCGAGGGGCTAGTTGCATAATTATAGAAGTAGAATCACGTGGGATTTTGGTCACTTTAATAAACTTCACAGGACTTCAAGTCTGAAGTCCTGTGAAGTTTATTAAATTGTGAAACTTAACGAGACTTGAAGTCCCGTAAAATTTAGCAGCTTAGTTAAATGGCTGCTAAACTTCACGGGACTTCAAGTCCCGTAAAATTTAGAAACTTTTTTCGCTAAAACCGACCTGGTTTCAGCCCCAGGGCTGAAACCAGGTCGGTTTTGACAAATATGAAACGGATCGTTTTTGGGGAATATGTTTGCAAATAGGACAATTTTGAAAATTTGTCCTATAAAAAATTGTTACTTAATTGCACTTAAATACCCTATAATTTCCACTATGTTGCACTTATATATCCCCACTTGCTTTTGGCAGCACTCATATACCCTAAGCTTTTAGAACTTTCACTTATGTGCCCTCACTTGTTTTTTGTTGTGCCTATATACTCTAAAGTTTTTAAAACTTGCACTTTATACCCTTAATTTTGCATAACTGAGGATATTTAAGTGACGGTTTTAAAATTTTTAGGGAATTGAAGCGCAAGTTTTCAAAACTTTAGTGTATATAAGTGCTGTCAAAACAAGTGAGACATATAAATGCATGTTTTAAAAACTTTAGGGTACATAAGTATTGCCAGAAACAAGTGAGCGTATATAAGTGCCAAATAGGGGAAACTATAGGATGTGCACTTAAGTCTAAAAAAATTGAGGGACCGAATAGCAATTCTAGTGATAAAATCAAGCCTCAAGGGTATAATTATGACATTGAAAATCCAGGGTAGAGAAAACTAATGGGTAACACATGTAAATAATATGGGAACTAACTTAGCAAATATGGTAGTAAATTTGCATATGCTGTAGATTCGGAGGGTACATATGCAAAAAACCCTTGTAACAACATCTCATACGTCTTAGAATTGATACAATGGAGTCTTCTTTAATAGAATTTTCCTCTGAGAAAGATTCTTATGAAAGTGATAATTACCATCTGATGTACTCACTTCATTATCGTTTATGGGGGATCATTGTATCAACAAACTTTGAAGTCCATCAGATTGTCGTCAACACTAGTTTTTTAAAATAATTCTGTGCATTGCTGAAGCCGAAATCTATACTCGAATTACTTATCGTATTTGTACAATTTCCTTATCAAAATATTGTATTAAGGTAGTAGTACTAATAATAAGGCCTAGAGCAAAAATATATAAAACGAACAAGGCTTTGAATACCAAAATTGCAAAAATTTATGGCTGCTTTCACTGTGATCGTATAGCTGAAGAAAAAGGGATAAATCTGAAAACAAAATTGATACGAATTATATATTAGAATTTGAGTAGAGTTTCCCACCAATGAGAACTTGAGGGTATATCCAATTGAAAGCTACATTTCAGCAGCTAACAGCTCAATTATCTGAAATAAATTAGAATACATCATTTTTTCCCAGCATTTTCCAGGCAATATTCTCTAAATATAGCAAATCGGTAATAAACACGAGATGGATTAGGATAAGCCGAAACAACCACATAAAATGCGATCTTCATGAAGAAGAAGAAGAAGAAGAAGAAGAAGAAGAGTTCAGACGAGCTTTAATCCAAGACTCCAGTGATTTCAGTTCTTCATTACTTATCGAATGGGCGAGGTTGGGATAAGCCTGCAACGGTCAAGAAACAAAATGCATGGTTTGCAACAGAATATTAGCTAGGAACTATTATGTAATCAAATCGATTAGAACATCTTGTAGCTTCATAAACGCATGGGCCGGGGTAAGAAAAACATGGATAGATAGAACTCTAGAGGGTCCTCCATAGAAAATCATATAGGGAAGGAGGAGATCATGACAACTGTCCAACATTTATTTTAATGTTGGTGTATACACCTATACAATATTCTGTTTGCACTGATTTTGTATACTGACCGCGCTAGTTTAGAACTAATAGTGGGACAAGCATCACGATCTCCTTCCTTCCAGTATGACTTTTTATAGAAATTCTTTATTTTTTCCCTATCTTTTCTTTATTATTATTATTATTATAAATTCTTTATTTTTTTTCCCTGTCTTTTCTTTATTATTATTATTATTATTGTTATATTTTTTTTTTGTGAAAGAGAGGGCTACCTTAAATTCGCATTTCATGCCAGCCCGCTCAAGAAACGGGGGACCAGCTTGACCAGCCTCAAACAATACCATCCTGTCAGCCATTCCATGAGACCACAAAATCGGGGTCTGCAAATATATCAGACCATCATGTTATATTTGAAGTATAAAAATTTAAATAAAAATGAAGTAGACCTACAAGAAACTAATAAATATGAACTGCAAAAAATCAACATTTATGCGTCTGATCCATCAATTGTATTTAAGGTGTGCCATTGTTAGGGCATAATTTACTGCATTTTTTTGTGCCAGTGCGTTGGGGGTTTTTTTTTTTTGGGTGGTGATGGTTGGTGGCTTTTTTTTTGTTTTGTTGTTGTGTGTGTGTGTGTGTGGGGAGGGGGTGGGGGTATGTAGGGGTGTGGGGTGGACATGGATGTATAATAGATTTACTCAGTCTTCCTTCAATAATTAAATAAAATCACCCTTTCCAATCCTACTGGTTTTCATTTGCGTCACTTTTCCTACACGACTCCTCTACAATTGTTCACTAGATTTCACCTTTATTTCCTTTTGACTTGTATGAATAGCTTGCAACTTATGAATGTGTACTCAAATCCATTATTCATTCTTACAGTTCGACTATATGATTATAACCATCAATTAATAGTTATATGTAACTCTGATATAGAGCTAATTTCACACAAACAAAAATGTCGGGCTGCCTCTGAAGAACGAACCAACTGCATATATGATGCCAGTCTCACTTCAAGTCCTCATCAACATTGTATTCCAAATACCTGTCACCATATTCACTAACTTTGGTGTGTGTGTGTGTGTATATATATATATATAATATATATAGAAAAACTTATGTCAACTTAAGTGGACCATCCACCAAAGTTTCTATCCATTGATGATACCTAAGAGATTCGTGCATCATATGAAGAGGACTTTTCATCAATGGTAAGAAATTATATATGATATATATATATATATATATATTATATATTATATATATTATATAATATATATATATATATATATATATATATATATAAAATTGTGCATGCTTGAGCATGGATTTGCTTGTGTTTTGTGTGTTATTAAATGAGATAACAAAGATGGTCCTGATTAGATAGCAGTTAACTGCGATCATGACTCTGAAATCAAATCGATGCTGCAATTATGAAATTCAACTAGCATTAGTTAATAATTACTTATGTCAGGATCATTAAGTTATTGAGGAGACAGGAAGTTTCTTAACTTAATTTTGCCAGTCCTAGCACTGTGGATGAAAAATCATGCATAAAAATACTCGTTTTCTACCATGAACTACCTTTCTGGCTTCAGGAGAAATGCGATCTATGATTGATGAATTAAAAGGAACCCATCCACTAAAAACTGCACCACCACCCAAGGTTTTAGGATAGAGCAATACACTTGCTAAGGTCAAGGCACCTGTCAAAACCATCATTAGTTCACATAAGTACAGAAGTTTAAAAAAAAATTGATAAAGCTAAATCCAGAAAATAATTGTCAAATGTTAACCACCTCCTTGGCTAAATCCGCAGACAAATATATTTTCAGGACTTATGCCAGCAGCTACCTCCTTGTCAATGACAGCATGCACATTTTGAACAGCTTCAAGAACTCCCTTTTCATCATTTGGCAATACCTAAAACACATCAAGATAACGATGACATGAATCAAATAGGAATCACTGCATGGTGGTTATAACAACCCTTCTTCATGATTTTATGATAGGCAGGCTGTATTATTTCAATAATCAACTTATAAATATATTATGTGCTATAATGGATTTAACAGTGGGGTTTTATCCAGGTTGCCTTTCACTATCTTTTGATATGAAGGTATTATATATGCCAGCATAACAAATGCCATATCTTTGATATTGGACAAAAACTAAGAGATGCTGATAAAAAAACTTCAAGGCTTTTCGAACTGGGTTCTTTACAGATCTATTTTCTCCCTGTCGACTACTTGATGTTTTTGCAATGGATTCACCAGAGTTCAAGGTTAATAATTAACAACAGAAACCTTGATTTATTATTCTCATTGTTTTAATAGTTATGGGGACATTGGCTGGAATATTAATGCAACCAATTTTCCTTTTTGGCTTAACATGACTAGGATCTGAAAAAAATAAAGTAAGATGATGGCGAAACCTCTACAAATGACCACAAATCATCAAAGCAAGAAAGTTTGTGTTGCTTGAGCCAAGCACTTGTTACAAATCATAATGGAGAAGGCGTTATCGTCTAGTGACTATAAATTATGTATCGCGTTATCCTCCAAACAGTCATAGAAGTAATCCATATTTAAGGCATATTTACTTTTGATTAACTATCTGATGACTCACTCAAGAAAAATTAAAGATACAATTGTGTGGGTATTACTTACAGCAGTTATAGGAATCTCACGAACGTCAAACCATGATGGCATCACCGCACCATCTACAAGAAAGAGAAAACATATTAGAGGCAACTTCAAAATAAAAAGTAGGGTAATTGCACATAACCCTCCTCATCCATACCTTCAGTTGCACTAAACCACCTCAACTCATTTACAAGCACTTAGCACCTTGAAATGCCATTTTTAGAAAGATCAATTGCAAGTAACGCCCCTCTTCCTCATGAATTGGGCGGCTATGGGGGGTTTAGTACAACTGAAGTTATAGACGAGGGGGGATTATGCCCAATCTACCCTAAAAACTAACAATGGCAGAACACTTGGTGCAGCAGAAAAGTATGATAGCTACAGTGAAGCAGTGTGTAGTGTTCAATATGTTTATTTGTTTTACAGATATAATGAGATAATGGAAAAAAATTTAACTGAACTGGAATTACTACCATGAGTTTGCAACAAAGAAATACTAATGACTATTTTTCTTACAACCATAGTCTAGTTTCCAGTCCAACAAGCATATCTGCTACATTTCCTCTGAATTAAAATGACAAATTATTACAACCAATTTCTCCGACTCAACGACCAGTTAGAACAATATTTGCGCATAAGAAGTTGTTTGGCAACCCACTAAAACTGGTCAAGAAATATAGCAAGCCTGGTCGTGATTTTGGTGGGTTGCAAAGAAAAGCCTAAGGCACAAGGCAAGTCGCCCCATATACATGTAAGCAATAGTATAAGAAAGAATCTAAATTCATAAGAAACAAAAAGAAATGATAAAAGGGAGAGATCTCTGTGGCATATCCGAAACAGTGCACTGCATTGCCTGCATGAGCTAAAACCATGATTTTAAATATCGCCTGATAATCCGATATCATCACTGAGTTATCAAATTCGGGAGCTTTCCGCTAGGATAAGTAGGAATTTTAATCGGTTATCGTTTTTTGAGGTTTATCGGCGAGTTATCGGCGATAAAGGCACTAATCAGCCGATAAGTAGGTTCTAAATATCGGCTTTATCGGCCGATAAGTAGGATTTGGGAGCTTTTACTTTCTTTTGGATTTGCTCTTTGAATGTTTACAAATTATGAACTATTTGTTGCTTTTGGAACTTGGTTGATTGGTGATTAGCTTATGTTTGTTTATGGATATTGATAATAGCTCATAACTACTAAATATCAACTTAGTAAGTTAGTTTATGAATCTCATGATTAAACAATAATTATGTAGATGCGTAGATGGTTCTTCATTCTTGATGTTATCTTATTATTTGCTTGTTTATTATTCCATTTTGACTAACATTAAAAAAAATTTCAAGCTTATGTTTGTTTATTATTTGCTAGTATATTACTCCAATAAATACTACTTATCCCCGATATATCCCCGATTTTCGCTATCCGATAAGGATTTTGACCGTCCGATAAATCCCCGATAATCGACATTTAAAACCTTGGCTAAAACCAAGTAAGAAGGTTTATGTCTATACTAAATTCCTTGGTACATTCTTCAAGAAGAATAGATATGGCGCCCTTAAGTCAGAAATAGAATAGTTAGCTTGGTTGTGCTTATAATAAATTTCTTAAAGATGACAATCTTAGAAATGGGTATTTGAAAAGAGGTCAAATGTTTAACATGCGGCTATTTCTACGAGAAGCATAGAAGAATGATTACCAGAAGATTAAAAATAGTTTCAGTTGATCCATTACCATGCACTTGATGAGTATATGAAGGGCAAAAAGAAGACATCTAGTTTCATGACTCATATAAGACAACTCTGGTATCATATTAGAAAACACTCTTGAAAAAAAAAAGATAAACAACAACAGAGTCTATATCCCAAGTGTTTGGGGTTGGTTACATGAATCATATTCTTTCATTTCGTTCTACTATAAGTCATCTCCTCTGTTAAGCTAACCATAATCATATCCTTCTTAATTACTTCCAACTAAATCTTTCTAGGTCTACCTCTAGATCTCTTTGTTCCATTAAGTATAATATGATCACTTCTCCTAACCGGTACCCGAGTTAAAACCAAGTGTAAGTAAGAAGGTTTATGTCTATACTAAATTCCCTGGTACATTCTTCAACAAGAATAGATATAGCGCCCTTAAGTCAGAAATAGAATAGTTAGCTTGGCTGTGCTCATAATAAATTTCTTAAAGATGACAATCTTAGAAATGGGTATTTGAAACGAGGTCAAATGTTTAACATGCGGCTATTTCTACGAGAAGCAAAGAAGAATGATTACCAGAAGATTAGTACTGGTTTGAGTCGATCCATTATCATGCACTTGAGTATATGAAGGGCAAAAAGAAGACATCTAGTTTCATGACTCGTATAAGACAACTCTAGTACCATTTTAGAAAACACTCTTGAAAAGAAAAAGATAAACAACAACAACAACAAAGTCTCTATCCCAAGTGTTTGGGGTTGGTTACATGAATCATATTCTTCCATTTCGTTCTACTATAAGTCATTTCCTCTGTTAAGCTAACCATAATCATATACTTCTTAATTACTTCCAACCAAATCCTTCTAGGTCTACCTCAAAATCTCTTTGCTCCATTAAGTATAATATTATCACTTCTCCTAATAGGTACACTAACAGATCTATGTTGTACATGACCATACCACATTAATCAATTCTTTCTCATTTTATCCTCTATAGGAGCAACCTCTAATTCACTACGAATACACTCATTTCTTACCTTATCTTTTAATATATACCCACAAGACCATCTCAATATTCTCATTTTTGCTACACTCATTTTTTGCACATGTTATTTTTAAATTGCCTAACATTCTGATCCAAAAAACATTGTTGGTCTTATAACTATCATATAGACATTTTTCCTTAAGTCTAACAGGTATTCTACGATCACACAAGACTCCCAAAGCACTCCATTTTAACCATGTCAGTCTGATTCGACTGACAACATCATCCTCAATCTCACCATCTTGCCGAACGATTGATCCTAAATAGTAAATTGATTGCTTTTAGATATTTTTGGCTATTAATATGTACTATAAGCTCTTTTCTCCTTCTAGTTTTAGTAAAAATGCATTCCATGTATTCTGTTTTTTGTTCTACTAATTCTAAAACATTTATTTTCAAGACTTTGTCTCCACTTTTTTACTTTAAAAATTATAAATGCTCTAGACTCGTCAACTAATACTATATCATCAACAAATAACATATACCATGACACTTTATCCTGAATATGTCTAGTAAGTTAGCCCATAACTAAAGCAAAATGATAATGGCTTGAGGCTGATCTTTGATGTAAACCTATGATTATAGGCTATGTTGCATAGATACAGGTACGGGTACGGGCACATGACACGATAAATTTGTATAAAGTAGGGTATGTGTAATAGCCCACATAAACAGGAAACAAAAATCTTCTTGTTCCTCACCACCCAAGGTTTTAAATATCGGATGTCGGGTTCATGTCGGACGGCTGAAATCCATGTCGGATAGCGGAAATCGGGGATATATCGGGGGATATGGACTAAATATCGGATTGTCATATCGGATGGGCGCATATGTACAATATCATGTCCTAAATGTAATCTAAGCATTCTTAAATTCAATATAAGCATACTTTATAAACTTTATAGACTAGACATATAAAAAAGTAAACAATATATGAGAAATGTAAAGAGCTAAAATGTAAACAATATTAGAGCTAAAAAAGTAAACAATATACGAGAAATCAGGGATTATTAAATGATAAACAAGGATTATTACAAGGATTACTAAAAATTAAGACATTGAATCTTTCATATTAATTAAACAAGATTAGAGCTAAAATGTAAAGAGCTAAAATGTAAAGATATAAAAAAATATTTATGCAAGCATTCCCATCATATTAATTAAACAAGGATTATTACCGGAGTTGAATCTTTCATATTCCGAGGATTACTAAAAAATCAAGTTAGAGCTAATTTTACTTTTAATCCAAAAGAATTATTTAATTACTTTTTGTCCACAATTTGCTCCAAGATACAAAAAGAAACTTATGATGATAATTTAGGAAAAGAAAGAAGAGTAAAAAGAAAAAAGGGAAAGTTAAAAACCACGATATATCGCTGAACCGATTTTCATAAATTTTGGCCGATTTTTCAAATAGGAAATAGCGGCCGATATATCCGATTTTTCGCCGACATGACCGATATATCGCCCAAAAACGATATGCGACTTGTATTTCCCCGATTTGTGTCGCTCGACACCTTGATCCGCTATATCGGCCGACATGTCCGACATGTCGGCCGATATTTAAAACACTGTCACCACCTCACCATATCGGTGATTTTTCACCGCCTCACGACAGCATAAAAGAGGAGGAACGGGCGGGGAGCGGGGGAATTAGAGGGAAAAAGAAGAGGAAGAAGACAGTGGAAAGAAGAAAGGCGGAAAAATCAAATCCAATCAAAGGTATAATTCTCCTCTTTTGTTTTCCTTGATTTCTTATGGAATAGATTGAGTATAAATTAGGAACTGAGATCAGTTAATGAGAGATGGAAGGAAAAAAAGAACACTTATCTAGTCGTTGGCGAGGGCTTCATCACTGACCCCTCATCGACAGGGAGTCATCGCCCTCGAGAGACCACTCCGATGGCGAGGCACGAGGCAGCAGGAAAAAAAAGAAAAGAAGAAAAAAAGTAGAGAACAGAAGAAAAATAAAAAGAGGGGAAATGGAGGAAGAAGGAGATAAAGGAGAGAGAAAAAAGGGGAATTAAATTAAAATAACCAAATTTCTTTGGGATCCTTGAAAGTTTATTAGTTTGCATATAGACCCAAAAGATAAAAATGAATAAAAATATTCATGTAGACCCTATTCAGTAAGTTGCAAACAAGACCCAGAAGATTCAAACTTAGTTACAAATTAAGCTTGAGTAATTAATGGGAAAACCCTAGAAACTGTCTCATATTGTTAATAGGTCCAGAACTATTAGAATGGTATTTAGAAATTATGGTAAATTGCTAAAATTATCAAACATTCTATGTGTACCCTACTTATGAATATTAATTGTTAATTGATTGTACT